AGACAGCTGCAAGAATCTGGGGCACGCTTTATAGCCAGGATCAGAGGAAAGTACAGCTGGTGGAATATAAGAGAAAAAAAATATCTTTTATATCCTCACCAAGTCTTAACACAAATCAAGGATTCAGAGTCCAACAGACACATGCTTCTGGAGAAGAAACCTTATGTTCTATTAATTTAGAATACCTAACAGTCAAGTCCAAAGTCCTATAAAAAGTGATACTCCAATGAAAAAACGTTTTCAGTTACCAACAAAAATGCAAGAGCTCTCAGTCTTAAGTGGTTTTTGTTTGTTTTGTTTTGTTTTTCTGCTTTGAAAAATCAAGATGGACACATAAATGTTGGTATGGTTTTAGTCTGGAATATTCCCAAAGGTTCTTGGTTTAAGCACTTGATACCCAACTGCTGCCACTGTTTGGGGAGGTGAGACATGGGCAAGTCCTTGATGCTTATTCTTGCCTCTGCTTCCAATCCAGCGCTCTCCTTTCTGATCCACCAAGATGGGAGGAACCCCCTCCTCAAAATGCTGCCACCATAAATGTACTCAATCTTGTGCCACGACATCCCTGCCCTGGGAGACTCTATCCTCTGAGTCCATGAGCCAAAATCAAGTCCTGCTTTGGACAAGTTATTATGTCAGGGTGATGAGAAAGCAACTCAAACAAGTGCAGCCCTCAAAATGCTCATGCAAATGCATAGCTTTAAGTAAATCAATTAAGATACTTGTTTGGAAGCCTTCTCATTTGAACTGATATTTGCACGGCATGCTAGTATAAACATGCAAGGCTGGAGCCTAGCATGCTCACAGCTCCACTGGCATCTGCCTTCCCAGAATGCTATCTATACCTACAACCCTGCCCAGGAAAGGAGTTTGCCAGGGAGAGAACCATTGCACCAGAATCTTTATTATCTCTCCTGAACTGATCTGCCTTATACATTCCTTATTTTCATCAGTCAGCTTTGTCAGCTGAGACAGAAATACACTTTCTGAATTATGTTGCCATTATAGTTCTCAGAGTGGCTTATGCCAGTATGACAATATTGGCCTTTTTGACACATGGCAGGGTTCTAATCCATCCCAAGGAGGGAAAACTATTATTCAACGTAGCGTGTTCGTCTCCATAAATGACCCATGTAGGCATAAACAGCTATACAGCTCTAGAGATTTCTATATTAGCACCTGGAATCAAAGTAAACAGAATCTTTTCTTTTTCAGTATTGAGGTGAAAGGAATCACCGTAGCGATGGTACCAGTTTATTGCCGTCTCTCTCTAGGATACCCTGTATGTAGATGCTCTGACTGTTTCCTAATCGACCTCTCAACCCTCATGCAGAAAAAAAAAAAACCACTTGGGCCTCCTTGGAGCAGTGCAGGACAAAGGCTAACTTCTTCCCAGAACCTAGCAAAGGCTAATGCACCCAGTGGAATAATATTTCTAAGTATTCACCCCACCAGAATCAATAGCAGTGTGCTGTCAGTGTGCGCATTAGCCTATACTTAAACAAAGGACGGCCCCTGGAGCCCTGTAATGACACCGGGAGTGGATAGCTAGGAATGGGCAAGATGATGCAGAGATGACTGGATTGCTCTCCTCCAGCACGAGGCTTCCAGGATGTTGCACAAGACTGGGATCCTTGTACCAGACCCCTCAGCACTCAGTTTCAGCCGCTGATACACCCAGTCAACGAACCTCCCTTTTATTTCTTGACTAAAGAGGTAAATTCTTGCTAGACCTTCTAGTCTGTGAGAGAAGTTTTGCTTTTATTATTTGCCTGGTATTGCCAGCAAATGCAAATATCTTAAGATTACCAGAACACTACAGATACAGCTAAGACGGGTACAATGAACTTGAAATGCTAAGGATTCAGATACGACCCACTTTCAGGGAGATTCTGCCATGCCCTCTCCCATCCATGTAGCATTTCCTGTGCTCAGACCCAGCTAAAACGACAGGCCCAGCGAGGGTAGTGGCAAAGGTCTGAGCATCAATTCTGCATCACTTACACGGCACTGGTCAGAGCAATTACTCACACCTGACCAAGATTGATGCTCTTCTTTACAGTAAACGGACCGAGTGTAGTGTGGTTGCATTCTGCCTGTAAAATCTGATCTCACAGTCAGAATTAGGAGAGGGTAGGGGATGTGCAATAAAGTAGAAATGGCTAAGGTGGTTCAGGTGTTATAAGACCGGAGGCGCTGTGGCAAGCATGCAGGTTTTCCAGCCAGGAGGCACTGGCTTGGAATCCCAGTCTGGTCGTTCATAAGACATGTGCCTTTAGCCAAATGTCTAACCTAAGAACTGATTGGGTAAAATATGAACACCAGAGCCCAAGCTTGCGAAATGAGATTGTTACCTCCTGCCTCATAATGTCATCTTAAGACTAAACAAGCTAATATGGAAAGCTTGCTCCAGTAAAACTGATATGAGCTGAATAAATATTAATATGATTTTTATTTTTATTAGCCCCACTATGGCCTAGTTATCTAGGAAGAATTAAATTCATCATAATTTTGTAATTCATGAACAAAATCCGTAACCAATAGCCTAGAAGACGTTAACTGCTCGTCGGACGTAGCACAGTCTAAACTTGGCCACAGTTAACATGGTTTTGATAATATTCCAGTCATTATGCACAACAAAATACTTGAAATTCTAGAAAATTTCACTGAGACACCAATAAATCCAGCCATGGAGCAATTTCTCTCCCCATACACACACACACACCTCCCCTTGGGGATATATTAAAGCTACAGCAACTGAAACAGCCTTAGCTAGTAATTAAGACGCAGCTAAACAGAGTGCAGCCCCGGCTGTGGTCCTCTAAGACACAGAACACCGGGTGACAGCTCCAGCTACCAGGGCTTTGTTCTCCCGGAGCAAAAAGCATGAAGACATAAAGTTGGGGAAGTGTCGCTGCAGACTGTGGGGGCTGGGAGGAGGTGACAGGCTTGTCTGCGCTGGGCGGATGTTCCACTAGCAACTGTGCGGCAGCCCACATCCGCCGGGGCCCTTCCCCACCCTAAGAGCGTGACTTCACTTTTCTGACACTGCCCTTAAGCAATCTGGCCTCTGTGACTTCCAGTAATTGTGCGCATCACCCATGATGAGGCAGCTGAAAGCAGTCTCAGAGAGAAGAGATAAGAATTAAGGCCAGAGAAAGAAGCCCCATGAAAGGGCCGCCCTGAGCTATTTTATCATTCCCAGCAATTCACACTACCAGACAAGTCTTTTCTCATTACTTGTCATTGAAAGGCACACTCCAGAGGGATCCTGATGGGTGCTGGGCACGGGGTTCAGACTTGTACTTTAGCCACCAGGCACACTTTCCCTTTCCCCCATTGCCATCTTGCTCCTCCCTTTCACCTCAGAGCTTCTGGCTTGGCTGTGCTCACACCCAGCAGTCCCAGCAGAGCTTGCAGCTCACACTATGCCTCAAAAAAAAAAAAAAAAAAAAAAAAAGCAGGCAGTGAACGTCCATGCTCCTAAGTGCTTGAGAGAAAAGCCAGGCTGAGTTGACCTCTTCCCACCCATTTAGCTGCATGCCAGCCATGGACCCTTAAAGGACTTGGGAGCAGCGTGTGTGTGTGTGTGTGTGTGTGTGTGTGTGTGTGTGTGTGTCTGTGTCTGTGTCTGTGTCTGTGTGCGTGGTGTGTGGGATAAACAAACTAATTAAAACCCAAGTTCTCCCACTCAAGCTAGTGCTGATGTGCTCAACTCCACATGAAAAAAAAAAAAAAAAAGAAAGCAATCCAAGCTGTTCCTGCTTGTTAGGATATATCTGTTACAGGCTCCATCAACAATCTAAGCTAAACATAAAGGAACTCAAGGGTGCTGTTCTTCCCACTGAGACACCAGCTATAAACGGGAACTATTAACGGGACTGCCCTGACAGCCAGGACCACTCCCTGACTTTATGGAGGCAGATGATCAACTACACTGACAGTGTCTTCTTTCTCTCCCCTAGCAGTAATCCGTCACACCAGCGAAATTCGCTTCATTCCCCAAAACAAAAGGCAAATACACCGTTCCCTACTGGCCTCTTAGGCTTTCTTTTAGAAAATAAAAAAAGTGGGGGGGGGAGCTTAAAGGCAAGCTCTGGATTAAATGTAAACAATGCCTGTTTATCCAGAGTTTCAGAATTGAGGTGATGTTAGGAGTGCAGAGGTTTGCATTCCTAACGAGTACTAAGGTGCCCTGACATTTATCCATCGCATCAGTTTGGTCCTAAAGTTAAGCAAGAGACGGCAGAGCCACTGGTCCCTCCAGAGTGTCTCGTCTGGTTATCCTTGACTGTAACTGCCGCAGAGAGATATGCTCCTCTCTCATTACAATCCAGCCTGCAAACAACTCCCGCTACAGCCTCTCAACTATGGAGGACATGAAGACATTCCCTACAAATCAAAGGACATAAATAATCTCATTTGATTTCAGTCTTTATGCTTTTAATAAATTCTTTCTTGAACATGCAAGAGAGCCCCTTTCAGAAGAGGGTTATGTCAAACGCTTATTCAGCGTTCATTCCTTGCTGTAAAGAACCTGAAACCCAATGGAGGTAAATCCTGAATTCCATTCTGCAAGTCACTAAATATTTCATAAATCACAGAGGCAAATGGGACCAATTAGCCCTGCTCCATAAAAAAAGAAACATATCTTTACAATGCTACAATACCATGAACTACACATTTGAGAGCTTATATGGGCGTTTGCGATAGAAATTATCCTGCATTTGTTTTTTTTGTTTTTTTTTTATTCCATGAGAAGACTAAATATAACAGGCAGAGCTAGAGGAAGAAATCTTTACACTTTGATTCTTACATGACGCCTGCAGGCCTTTGTCTTAGCACAGCAGCCTGAAAACAGAATTAAGCAAAACAACCCCTCTTTCTCCGGTCCATTTTAAACAGACAACATCCCCCCCATCTCTTTGCCTGAGCAGACGCCGCCGCCGACCAACCAACAAAACAGCCGTGTAATTAAGGCTCGGACATTTAACACTCACCATCTCCTGCTCCCGACGTCTTCTTTTGATGTTTACAGCACATCTGTAGGATGCAATACTAGGAGATGCCTTGTTTGACCTGCTGCATGATGCTGTGACATCAGTTCAGATGATGCAGCTCATTATGGGAAAGGCTGCTGTTGCTATGGCAACCGGGATGTGCTAGGAATCCTTGCTGCATTTCCAGTGGAGCCTGCGACAATACAGAAGCTCTGTAAGAAACAGACAATATGCAAAATTCAGTCCAAAAGAAGAGGGTTTCTCATTGGACTACAATTTGTTAAGTTCAAAAAAGGATTTTCCTAGAAGAATTTTGGAGGAAAATATAAAATTACCTCTTTATTTGCTGCTATGGACTTAGAGACTAAAGGTGGGAGTGGAATGTAGGTTGGGGACTGAGAAAATACGAACTCATGTTCATGTTTCCCTGTCTGATCATTCCCTCTCTCTGGCTGGTGACAACACCTCTTTAAAAGTTACTGAAAAGAGTTCTAGTGCCTGTTCAGAGACCAAAAGAACAAAGCAGGGAGTGCAAAATAAAACAGTAGTAAATACAATAAACAGCTAGTCAAGTGAGTCTGAGTCTTGAGAGCGCAGACTAATAATTCTCCAAATACGGGCCAAGCCTCAGTGGCTAAGTCTGCCCTGATGGTGCGCCCTGATAGACAGCACTGGAAAGGGGTCCTATCCCCGGGACCCTTCCCTTGTCCAGCAGAGAACCCCTCGCACTCACAGTCAAAATGCAAGTGTCTTTGGGGTTAAATCCAGAACAAGTGGAAGACCTGTAGAAATCTCCGGTCAGGGCCACTCCCAACACTGGGATCTGTTGTTCTCTCCAGGCAGGAAGGCTGCCTACCGCAGAGATTACTGCCTCCCTTCCCCCAGAAGGGATTACTCCCGTTAGTCAAAGCATGGGGAGTCCAAAGTAGTCGCTTATTTCCACTCTGAAGTGTAAACAAGCGTCGTGCTGTTTATGAGGAGGACTCAGCGTGGACCAGCAGCCCAGCTCTCGCATGGTTAATACTTGCAGGCCGCCGACAGACAGACAGACACAAGCTGACCTACATCCATTCTATCTTTACAACTCTGAGGAAAAACAACATTCTGAAAACCCAATAGAGAATGAGACACTTCTACCGCCCCCTCCTCACTGAGATTTTAAACAGCCCTGTTAATCAGAAGCACGGAGGGTGGGGCTAGGGTGTCAGCCTCTCTGTAAAGGCGACCTGATAAAATGCAGGAGGGGTGCCAAGATCCTAGCAGGGCGCACCACCAACCTTGCACAGAGCAGCCCTGCCTGGGATGTGGAGCCATGACTGTTCTTACTTTCCCTAATCAGAAACAAGGAAGGGTAAAGCAAGAGGAGACACTGTCTGGGCAGTCAGCAGAGCAGGGCTCCCTTATCTTAGGTAACATGGTACACACACACACACACACACACACACACACACACACACACACACTGGGAAATCAGCAGGGAGTCCCTGCAGAGACAAGAGCACTGACCTGGGGGGAGGGGGTCAACAAATCCACCTGGGATGCTACTCCCTCCTAGAATTCTGTGTACTGTGGCCCAATCTAGTAATCTCTGCTGGGCTCAGGGGTTCCCTCTGAGGGATGATAGACTTAGATAATAATCATGGTTGGCTATTATTATTATTATTATTATTATTATTATTTTGATGATACAGAGTAAAGCTCATCTGCTTTCACTGGTGTAGGTGGAGGGGATAAGAGGTCCAGAGTCAAGACTCTTGGGCCCTTCTCACCCCAGTTACTAACCCTGCCTGCCATAGAGTACTATGGGCCTCTCTCTGGACTCTTGGGCCTCCACAAGAAAATATGTGAAAGCCATGGAGCTAGAACCAGATTTGCCTTCCCAGAGATGAAATCCCAAGGCCCCATAAAGAGGAGAGGACAGGCCAACAAATAGACAGGTAAAAGATAATGTCATTTTACCCAGTTATAAGGAGAATGAAATTATGTCATTTGCAGGAAAATGGGCAGAACTACAGGTCATGATGCTAAGCAAAATAAACAAGCCAAAGACAGACAAATTCACATTCTTTGTTCACAGAATATATATAATATATAAATATATCACATACATATTATATAACTATGTTGTATATAATAACTTACATGATGTTTATATCATTTGTAAATATATCATACACGTGATATATAAATATATCATATTGTGATATATAAATATACTAATATATCATACATATGATATGTATGTTATATTTCATATCTGAATACATTTTCTGTTCATAGTTCCCAGATAAGAACACACCTCCTAATCTCTCTCAAATAGTGCTATTCCCTGATAACCAAGCATACAAATACATTAGCCCATGGGGGCCATTCTTACTCAAACTCACACATTCTACTCTTTGGTCCCATATGTTTATAGCCATATCATAATGCAAAAAAAAAAATGCTTTCAGTCCAACTTTAAAGGTCCCCACAATTTTTCAGTCTCAAGAGTGCTTCTAAGTCTTCAAAGTCTAAAGTCTCTTCCGAGACTCAAGCAAAGTTCTTAACCATAGCCCCTTTAAAATTTTTAAATTAAAATAGACAACTTCCAACATACAATGGCATAGAGTATACGCTATCATTCCAAAGGGAGGAAAGAGAACACAGTCAGGAAATACAGGACCAAAACAAGACTACTATTGAGCCAGGCAAATTCTAAAGTCCGTATCTCTGTGTCTGATGTCTGTGTTCTTCAGATCTCCAACTCCTTTCGGCTTTGTTGACTACTCACAAGCTTCTCTCCTTTGGCACTGGTCCTGTGCCCTGTCTTCCATGTTCCTACTAGGATGGCCCATTAAGCCCATCTTAACACATTCGACTACTTTCCTAACCAAAGTGCCGATGTCCACATTGCATCACGAAGCAGCATGGTCAGGTCTGTCACAGTAAGTCTGCCCGACTCCCTGGTACCACCTTCTGTCTCTCAGGGTTCTGCTGCTGTGGAGAGATACCAAGACCAGGCAAGACAACTCAGATTAAAGAAGGCGTTTAATTGGAACTCACAGTTTCAGAGGTTTAGCCTTTTATCATGGCAGAGAGCATGGTGACACTCAGGCTGACATGTTGCTGGAGAAGTCGCTGAGAGTTCTACATCTGGATCCACAGGCAGTAGGGAAGAGAGAGGCACTTGGCCTGGCTTGGGCTTGTGAAACCTCCAAACCCATCCCCAGTGACACTTCCTCCAAGAAGGCCACACCTCCTAATCCCGCTAAAGTAGTGCTATTCTCTGATGACCAACCATTCGAGCAATATATAAGCTTGCAGGGACCGTTCTTATTAAAACTACCATGTCATAGTGGAAGCCAGAAATACCAAACTTCGTGTTTGTCACCATTAACAACACTCTTGCACCATTAGTGGAGGCTCCTTAGCACTCAGATTCTGGGCTGTAGAATCACATGGTTGGGAAACAGACAACGAAAGCCTGAACAGTTACTGAAGAAGGCCCACCAGATGACATCTGCTACAGAAGAGGTCAAGGGCAGATTACCTGGGAGGCATGCTCTTTGTAGGGGACAACAAGGGTATGTTCTTGATAGAGGAGAGGGAGAAAGAACCATTAGGAGGTCAGGAGGACAGACTGTGGGGACAGCTCACAAATACAAGCATTCTCCTGTGTTCTAGACGCACCCCTAGTGCCATTACCTACAGGGAGACCCTGAGACTGGTTCTAACCAACGGAATGGGACCTAAGTATTACCTTAGGTGGTAGATTAGGTTAGCAGCAAATGGGCCTTCTATTTTCCTTCCCTGGCTAGTTGGATACAAAGAGCCCAGTGGATCTCTGAAGTCCTGAGAGCAATGGAACCGCACTGTGAGTGTCCTGTGTCCTGGGGACTACACGGGAAAGAGGCGCCTTCTTCCAACCTTTCACCAACTTTCACTGGGAAGCGATGAGCAGGAAGTAAGCCATCGTTATGGTTAATCTTGACTGCCAATTTGACTTAACTACCTTACTACTTCCTGTCTCCTGTCTACAGTCCTCCAAACCTCTATGGTTAATTTGGTCAGCTGGTGGCTAGCTCTGCCCTCTGACTCCAAGCTAGCTTTATTTGTCAGAACATAATCAAAATATCACACATTTTCCTCTTTTTGCCTAAATAGAAAAAATGAAGGTTTTAACTCACATAGTAAAACTATATCCAATATGTACAATAACTATATACAAATATAAACAAGTAAGGATTACAAAAACAATATCCAGTTTATTTGCATTTGGTAAATTCAGAGAAAATGCTCCATTATCTATCTTATTTTGGTGAGTCCAAAGTTCTGTACCTAAATCACATTCTTTCCTAACTTGCATTACCAGTTCAAAAATATCCTTTTATTTCTCTCAACCTTATATACTTTATACCTTTATGTACCTATATACAAACAAAAATATCACACAACATACATATAAGACAGAACCAAAATAACAACAGATTGTTCAACTAAAACTTTAAAAAACAAGAAGGGATTCGAGTGCTATATTTCAAGTACTGAAAGGGAACAATAATAAATTTTAATAGTAATGACCTCCACAAAGGAGCTGGATAGTTGTCTCAGTCAGTCAGTGTACTGCTCTTCCAGAAGAACTGAGTTCAAATCGCAGCACTCACATCAGCCCACAACCATATGTAAACCAAGTTCCAGAGCGACACAAAGCATATGCCGCCATTGCCTGGCTGTAAAAACTCTTACTAAACTATTTGTAAACTAAATTCAAAATGTAAATGTGTGTAATTTGTAATTTTATAAAAATGTTTGTAAACACATCAAAATGTCAATGTGTAATATGCACACATATCAAAAATATTTTATCTACCATTGTTGTCTCAGGTGCTTATATTGCTGTCCTAAGACATTATAACCAAGACAACTTATACAATAAAGTATTTAATTTAGGATTCATAGCTCCCAAAGGTTAGCATTCATGCCCATCATGGTTGGGAGCATGGGAGCAGGCAGTCAGCCACGGTGCTGGAGCAGTAGCTGACAGCTTACATTTGGAGCCATAAGCACAAGTCAGTGAGAGCTAACTCAGAGTGGTATGGGCTTTTAAACCTCAAAGCCTACCCCTAGTGACATACGTCCTCCAACAAGGCCACACCTCTTCATCCTTTCCAGGCAGTTCCACCAACTGGGAACCAAGTATCAAATATATGAGCCTATGAAGGCCATTCTTACTCAAACTAGCAACAAACTGTAACATGTTCCTGGCACTGACGATTTTACTTGCATCATAAGATGCCTAGTTGGGGCATTGTTTTCCCCGTTACTTTATGACTTCATTTATATTCCCTCCGTATATGTATATATTTTAGGAAGTTTCTAGGGTAGGAGGCTTCCGTATGGTTTTTCAAATGCCCTTTTGTGCTACTTGTCCATCTCCTAGTCCCTTCTTCACACTTTTCTCCCACCCCCCTTCTCTCTTTAACACCCTAGCTTCCCCTTTATCTCTCCATACCTCTATATCCTTTTACCCACATGGGACACTGACTCGGGGAACAACACTAAAGTGAGGTAGAAAGGATGTAAGAACCAGAAGGCAGCAAGGAGTGCTATGTAATGATGTCTCCTGGGCATGACATGGCCCCTGCACAAGAGCAAAGTCAATATTCCAGCCAGAATGCAAGAAGGGATCATGAACTAAGAATTATTGGTGACTGTTGGCTGCTGGAGGACAGAGCCATTTTTTTTTTTTTTTGGAAGTGTGGCCATTGATCGGTCGTTCACACCCTCCTTCGTGGCCCCACACTCATATGCACACAGCATCACTAACTAGACTCTGTGGATTATACCAAAAAAAAGGAAGAATATATGTCGGTAATAAGAGTGTGTTAGAGGAGTCCGGGGGTGGGGGGGGGGAAGGGGAGAGCCGAGGATATGAATAAGATACACTGTAAGCACAAACAAAATTCTCATGGATAAATGAAAATATTCTAGAAAAAGATTAAGAAATCAAAATAAGCAATTGGCATGTGAATAACTGAGCTAGTTTGCTACAGCATGTAAAGTACATGCTAGTGAATACATGAATATACATGAATCATTATGAACGTCTTGTGAACAGGAACTTTTGAGATTCCCTGCTAAGGGTGACATGCTTGTCCTGCCCTCACTTTCCTGCATCTTTCAACATGCGCAAAGTGAAGAAGAATGTGCAAGATGAGGTCAGGGAGGCGAGATTAGTCTCTCGAAGGGTTCAGTCTGAGGGGAGTGACTCCATGTTAGTTTATGAAAAGGAGAGAACACTGGTCTTCAGATGGAGATAAAAATACTGAATTTCCATCTGGAATCCTAGAAACAGGCTCTTCTCCTCTCTTCACCATGTCTCTGTGGTGGTTGAATGGGAAAGGCCCCTGCAGGTTCATATATTTAATACTCGATCTCCAGTTAGTGGAACTGTTTGGGAAGGATTAGGGGGTGTGACCTTGTTGGAAGAGCTGTGTCATGGTGGGAGGGCCTCGAGGTTTCAGTTAGCTCACTCTGCCTCCTGCTTTACATCAGTATCTAAGCTCCTGGATACTGCTCCAGGATCATGCCTGCCTGCCGTCACGCCTCCTGCCATGATGGCTATGGACTCTCACCCTCCAGAACCATGGGTCCCGAATTAAATACTTTGTTTTCTAAATTGTCTGGGTCATGGTATCTTAGTACAATACAAAAGTAACTAACACAGCTCTCCCCTTAACTGCAAACTATCTTAAACATACACTTTATATTGCTAAACTACTAATGAAGCACATACAAGGAAGTAAAGGACAGAATATCCACATTTTTAAAAAATCAAATATTTACTATTGAAAAATGTATGACCACTTTGGTTACAGTGTATCTGCATGCAGCACATTAGTGATACAACTTTTCTTGTTGCCATGTATGTACATCCATGTATAACAAGCACTTATCTATCCCAGTGCAATGTCCTACACCAGAGAATGTGGGTGCTGCTGTTATAGCTCAAGCATGCTCAGGGCTGCATGAGAGCACATGCCTGGGCTTTGCTATAAATGATCATATGTTTATATGGTAGTGACAGTGCAGAGGTCTTTGCACAGATGTTGTGCAGTGCTCTGCTAGTACATTCACGTGCAGTGACGTTTCTAAACATAAATACAGGTTTGAAAAGAAGACAGTTAACAAAGAGCCACCCACCGTGCTTAAGGTTTATATATATATATATATATATATATATATATATATATATATATATTATACACACACACACACATATATATATTGAGAGAGAGAGAGAGATCGTTCCCTGAAAGGAGAAATTCAACAAAGAAAATATGTTTATCTTGTTGCAGATATATGAAGACATTAGAACACTCATCCAAATAGATGTATACAAAATTTAGTTCAGTCCTCAAAGAGAACCAAGATAACACCACACTATGGAGTAACATTCCTAACAGAAGACTGAAAGCGGTTAAGATACCCCAGGAAAATCCTCACTTACCACCTCTTATTAACATAAGGGTGAGAGCCAGCAACCTGTCCTTGGAACAAACGAATCAGACACCTCTTCTGCACAGGCCGGATGAGCTCTCCATAGTGCAGCTCTTCGTCTGTCCTGAACAATAGGAAGCCAGAGGTCGCAGGCAACTTTCCATCTGGCGGTCTCCCAAGAAGAGAAGCGGCTTTTCTCAGAGCAGCTTGAGTCGTCAGCCCAGGGAAGAGAAGGTGTGGGCCTTCTCCTGCTGTACTGTGGATGAAGAGCTGTGTGGCCAAGAGCCGTAGCGCAGAAGGTCCACAGAGCGAGATTTGCCGTCTCGAGCTCCCCATGACGTCATCGAGGTCTTGAAACTTCCCTTGTCCCTCCCAGGAACAGATTTCCTGATTCCAGATTCCTGATCCGGCCAAGTTCACTTTTTGTCAGGAATGGACCTGAGCCGGGGAATGGAAAAGTACGAGCTCTCGTGACATCAAACTTTTGTTTATTCCAAATGCCCATCAACTGGCTGACTGTGAGCCAGGATGACTCTGGAAATGTAGTGATGCCGGGTGGCAGTTTTGAGACCGTTGTCTCAGACAGCTCTTTATTGGTGCCAAAGGCGCCCCTCATATCCTTTTGGTCCCAGAGTCAGATCGTGGTAGGTCAGGGCCGGTAAAGTAACCTAGCAGAAGCCAAGGCAATACTGGGTATGAAGGGCAAAGCTAGGAGGCCCGGAACCACAAACACCGCTAGTTACTTCAGCTGTGAGGTCCGGAATTACCAACAGGCAACGTTAGTCATGAGGCAAACGATACTATGACAGACAGAATATCTGACTGGAACACTTCCGGGAGGAACAGCGGACAGTTTCAGAGGCATTCCCGCTTTGTGGCAGAAAGAGGAGTACATGGCACGGCAGCCAGGAAGAACAAGGCAGAGGGGTTCATGGCACGGCAGCCAGGAAGAACAAAAAAAGAAACAAGATGTGGTCAGGGTAAGGTCCAATCCCAAGGAGTCTATCTCCAAAAATCCTCAGAGTCAGAAACGAGCTGGCATTTTTCCAAAGTCCAAATCCGAAATATATAATATCAAAATTAGCATTACACAGAATGGCAGAGAATGTGTTTCCCACATCCCACATTCCAAAAGGGAGGGCTAGGAAGAACGGCAGGGCAGCAATGGAAGAAAGCAAGACCTAACCCCAGCGAGACTAGCACTAAATCCTACAGTTCTTTATCACTGGGCACATGGTGCCCTGACTCCTGCGGTCTTGACGATTGCAGCCAGCAGGCTTTTCTTTAGGCTGGCTCCACTCTGTGCTTGGCTTCCCTCAGCAAATGTCCCATGTTCCTGGCGCTTCCAACATCCTGGAGTCTCCACTGCCGCTTCTCTACCAAATCTAAATTTTGCCCTCTTACTATCGACCTTCACTCTGTGCCATGCGTAGCCAGATTCACGGGCTTTCCTTCGAAGTCTGGATGCACACTTGATCCGGGTCTATTGTAGCTGCCCTTGCCAGACAGCGTGAGTCCAGCTTCTTCGACCCTTTGTCACAGACTCGCACCACTGATTCCCCTCAGCTCCCTTCCTCAGCCTTGGATCAGGACTGCATCTTCGGTGCCCCTGAGACTTCCAACTTCTGACAGAAGAGAAGCTCAGTTCTCTGCCTTTCTGACTAACAGATGGCCCTTGCTGAACTTTCCAGACCCCGATACTGTGAGCCTGTTAGTAAATATCTTTCTGTAATTTTATATAATGTAATTATATAATGATAGATAACCTGCTTCTTTGGAGAACTGTAATGTAGTGATATCCCTAAAATGGACCTAGCAATAATCCAACAAGCGTTTTCTAAACTCAGAAGTCACACGTAAACATTCTCTGTTATCTTTGTTCCTTTTACTGAAAGGGTAATATTCACATTCAGCTATTTGAAAAAAATAAATTTTAATCTTATTTATCATTTTAAGCGTCTAATAATGTAAATGGTTTCCTCATTGAATGCTGGAGCATATTTTAGCTGTGGGAATATATTCCATAGAAATTCTAGACCAATCAATCAATAGAAGGAGGGAAAAAAAACCCTTTAAAAAGTGTCTTTCCTTCAAGAGATGGTATTTCCTACTACTGAAGAAATCTTAGGATAGCCCAACACACTGGTATTTTTCTGAGTCTATCAATACCCAAGGCTATCCCAAGCAACAAGGAATCGGTTCTCTTTTTTTTAACTCATTTATGTTTTACTTTGTTTAGACGTGTGTGCGCCTGGGTAAAATATCGTGTTGTGCACAAGACCGGGACAAGATTACTCTTTGCAGCTGGCCTTCCCTATCTCTGAACTGCTTGTGATGGGAGTGGCAGGCCAAAGCCTTATCCTAAAGCTGCCAAAAAAAATATGTTTTTGTGTATAAAACAGAAAGAAACAGGAATGATATTTGGAATATGTTCTCTCTTTGTTTTCAAGGCTCCTTTTATGTCATTTAATTATAATTAAGGAGCTGATTTCTTGGAGACTAGAAAGATGGATCCGCAGTAAGGGCACTTACTGTTCTTGCAGAGGCCTGTGTTTAGTTCCTAGCACCCACATCAGGGAGCTCATAATTGTGTGTTAACTCCCAGGGGACCTGATGGCCCCTTCTAGCCTCCTTGGGCATGGGCACCTAGGCTCATCGATGCACACACATTCTCTCAGCCACACACACACATACAAAGTAAAACATAAATAAATTTTAAAAAAAGAACAGATTCCTTATTGTTTGGGATAGACTTGGATATTAATAGACTCGTGTTCCAGTAGATGGTCCCACACCCATGATCATACAGGCAGCATGAAGTGGACCCAGTGGATTTTAAATCTTTGTTTTTAAGAGTACTGAGGACTCTTAAATAAAGGACTGAGGAGTTGACTCAGTGGTTGAGAGCAACGGTTACTCTTCCAGAGAACCTAGGTTTGGTTCCTAGCATCCGTGCGGCTGCTCACAACTGTCTACAACTCCAGTTTCAGGAGATATGATGCCCTCCTCTGGGCTCTGTAGGCAGTGCATATATACATATATGATATAAAACACCCAGACTTAAAATTATATACGTTTATTTAAAAAAATAAGACAGAGGAGATGGAGAGATGGCTCAGTCAATAAGAAGCACTTACTGCTCTTCCAGAGGACTCAAGTCCTGTTCCCAGCACCCACAGCAGGAGGCTGGCCACTGTAACTCCAGCTCCAGGGCATCAGAGCTCTCCCTCCACAGGCACCTACACGCATGTACACACACACACACACACACACACACACACACACACACACACACATGTAGACACACCTCTACACATAGTTAAAGATACTAAAAATCAGTCTTAAGAATAAAAATCAGAACGAACACATTATATTGGGAGGAGGATGTGTTGGCAAGGATAGGGAAGAAATTATATGCATGAAATTCTTAAACACAAACAGATATTGTGTTATGTGATATGATACGAGTGGCGGCACTTTCCTTAAGGGAATTTCCTCAAGGGCTGGAATATTTCTCTCCTTAAAGATGTGGGGACTAGAATTCTCTCTGAGGTCAATGGAGCCAGCGTTTATGTTTTTGTTTTTGTTTTTTTTTAATAGATTTGGAGAACATCTACTAATTTCTCTTGGGGAAAAATGTGAGAAAATCTATGAAAAGATGTCCAAATTTAAAATATAAGTATTGTTATTTTGGTTAGAGGTAATTTTCATGTTGAGATGAATTTAAGTGGGGTGTGTGTGTGTGTGTGTGTGTGTGTGTGTGCTTGTGCTTGCATGTGTAAATGTGCATGTTCTTCTGCGTGTGTACCATGAGGCAGAGCACTGTCTCATGGAACATGGAGTATACAAACTCAGCTAGACTAACTGGCTATTGAATTCCATGTTCTCCTTGTCTCCTCCTCCCCAGTGCGGGGTTACAGGCACACACCACCACGCTCAGTTGGTAAATTCCATGTTCTCCTTGTCTCCTCCTCCCCAGTGCAGGGTTACAGGCACACACCACCACACTCAACTTTCTCATGTGGTTCTTGGGGATTCAAACTCAGGTTTCTGTGCTTAAGTGGCAAGCACTGAATCACCTCTCTAGCTCTTGGGTAGGTTTTAGAGACTTTCTCTTTTTCGAAGGGGGACTATGAATTGAGTATATGTTCTACTAAAAGGAATGTGTAGTCACAATCTCTGGATGGGACAGACTTTAGGAAATAAGCAGGATTTGAAAAGGGCACTCTTAGAAGGTAAATAGAGGAACTTCCTCTGTCTGGGCCTTGTGCAGGCAGACATGCTTGGATTTTTATTAGCAAATAAAATAGCCAAGTTCAGCCCAGGATTATCCACTGGCCTCTGACACACAGAAACCTACCTAGAACCAAACAGGCTGGCACTAGAGCAATTCCTAGATCTAGATCTACAGACACTGAAGGCAGCCACACTCTGGGCCTCTCCCCTAAAGTCCACTGTTGAAGCCCTAGTCCTAATATTTAGAGAGAAGACCTATAAAAATGATAACGGAGACCAATGACATTGTAAGAGTGGGACTCACAGCAAACAGTGCTGGCGTTATTGAGAGAGAGAGAGAGAGAGAGAGAGAGAGAGCAAAAACTCATGTCCTTTTTGACATCCAAGAACACAATGAGAAGTTGAGGACCTGAAAGTCAAAAAGTCTCTTTTGACTTAATTAATCCAATTAATTTTGGATTTTCTAACCCCTAAAACTCAAAAAATAAAAATTTCTGTTGTTTTAAGTCATCTAGTCATTGGTGTTTTGTTATAGCGGCCCAAAAGACTGAAAATTTGCTTTAATAAGAATATACCTTATTGTAATCCTCAGAGACAATTCAATTAACGTTAAACCAAAGACGTATAGTGGACTTCAGTGTGACACCCTAGAAGCCTCTTATCTCTCTCTAGCACCCAGTTTCAACACTTCGAAGGAATCTGCAGTTTCTTCTGGGAAGAGGAATATAAAATTTCCCTTGGGAAAAAAAAAGCACCCTTTCCCTTTCTCTAGTCTTATGGTTTTAATGGAACTAAACCCACATGTGCAGGAGATCTCTGGTTAAGTTAAAATGATAGCACATTCCATTGCTGTGGCCACACTGATTAGTCTCAGAATGGCATATAACCTAACCACAGTCAAGGAGATGTGTTTACTCTTTCTCTGGGATTGTTAGTACAAGGGTGAAGCCACAAGTCTAATGGCCAGATGAAGTAAACAGAGGCAGATCTCATTGGTGGTCTCTGAATTGAAATGTACTAACTCGGCCTGATTGTTTATTTTCATACAAACCAATACATTCCCATATTGCCTAAGGTACTTGAAGATGGTTTTTCTAACACTTGTAATTTAAAGAATTGTGGAGAGCATGGGATTTGACTGTACTGTCTTCCACTTTCTTCCAAGATGGGTTTTCTGCCTTAGAGTTCTTGGCAAGGCCTGCTGAGACCTCTCTGGTGGGCTGCAGGGTCATCTTTCCGGTCATGCATATCACGGAAGGGTGATACAGAGCATCCTATAATTGAGGGGTACATCTTACAACCTCCCTCCCTGCTCTCGTTTCCTATGGCATGAAGGCAAATGTTCAATATGAGATAGTTAAGCAAATCCCAGGGCTTGAAACTCAAGAATTACTGTGGCAATAACATACATCAGTCATTTTGTCTCCTGCCACTATCTGGTTATCATAGCTACTCAAAACAAAGAAACAGGTACTTCAGGCTCAAATGGAATTACAGAAACAGGGAGCACAGACCCTGAGGGCAGACAGGAGGTAACAGTTCCTCCCATTCCTTAGAGATGAAGGCTTTCCCTCCAGTTCTCCACACATCTCTAGCTCTTACCCTTTTCCTTCTGGTTATGGGGTTCTATGCATAAGATTGAGTCTCCTCAAAATTCTTACATTGAAACCCTAACACCCCCCCCCAAATAACTGTATTTGGAGTCAGAAGCCATGAGAAGTCAACAAAGATTAAGGAATAAAGTAAGGGTAGAGCCCCAACCTAATGGGACTGTAAATCTTGTAAAAGAGGAAGAGACTCTGGGACCATGAGAACACAGCGAGAAGTCAGAAAGAGGGTCCCTCACCAGGAGCCAAAATGGCCCCCAGAGGCTCACATATTTGAATGTTTAGTCAGGGGGAGCAGCACTACTTGAGAGGGATGAGGAACTGTTGGCCGGGGTGACTGTGATCATATTACCTGATACCTCTTCACCATCTGGTGCCTAAGTTAATTGTTGTGTATGAAAAATCTTTGAGGTCTAGGCCCATCGCCTATCACAAGCCCTCTGAAAGTGTGAACCATTGCTAGTAGAAGCCTAGTGGCAAATCTGTGCTCAGCTAAAATAGTATAACAAAATACACATGCACTTGGTCTTCAAGACTATTACATTAAAAACAGGAACAATGATGGATATACATTTTGATTTCCTATGAACTGAATGCTTCATACACTTCATCTCTGATCCCCTGGCATTAGCAAAGCAGCCTCCGCTGCTCACTTCAGTTCTTTCCTCTCTGCTGTCTCTAAATGTCAGAGAAAAAACACTAAAATGACAGGGTTTTTGTTTTTGTTTTTGTTTTTGTTTTGTTTTGTTTTGTTGGCTTATGGTTTAGGGTACAGGCCACTGTGGCGGGAAAGGCATACCAAGAACATCTTTCTCACATCTGTATGGATCGGAGAGCAGAGAATGCAGATGTTCCCCCCTTTTTCCTTCAGTCCTGGACTCCAGCTCATGGGGTGGTGCTGTCCACGTTCAAGGCAGCGGTCAGCCTTCTCCATTAAACCTCTCTGCAAACCCCCTTACAGACCCGCCCACATATGCACCTCGTTAACCGCCTGTCTGCTTCTTAGCAATCAAACTGACATCAAAATTCAGCATCACGTATTTTGGAAAAATGATTTCTTCAAAGGGTAAGCTCGTTATAAGGTGACGGTAGAGGTTCGAGTCCATCTTTGCCAGGTTCTTTCCGTCCGACCAGTCTTTTCAAACCAGTCTGTTCCCTGCTAGTTCTGAATTTCATCCTCACTTTTGACATAGAGTGGGCTCCAACCTGAGTGTTGGAAACTCAGGTTTTGAAGTTAGGCAGTCTGGGGTCAAAGGACACCTCTGTCATTTGTCGCGTGGAGCACGTTAGACACTAAATCTGGGTCTCGGCTCTTCCACACTGTGAAATGAATTGGATGACAAGAACAGCTCGTCTTGATGACTAAGTGAGCTCACACCCGGAAAGCACCTGGCACACAGCTTCTCCAAATGATGTATGAGCTGCTGTTATCCTCGCTGATGGTTGATGAAACCAAGGCAACCTAGTGAAAGAACCGGAGCAACCCATCAGGTTTCGTGTTTCTCAGTCAGTTTTCTACGGAGTCATAGATAGTCATACGCCACTTGATGATGGAGGTACATTCTGAGAAATACATTGGGGAGTGATTTCATTGCTCAAAGGTCACAGAATATATGGACGCAAGACCAAATGCTACGGCCTCCTACCTATTTAAACTATGTAGTATGTAGATATAGCATGACCTCTTGCTTATAGGGTCCTGGTACAGAGAGTAACATGAGACAAATTAAGCACAGGTGAAAATAATGTGACAATAATGCGCCAGTCAACACAGGTGTGCGTGGCTGCTTCTGGTAGCACAGCTCCTGGAGAAACTTCATAGAAAATGGCTTTTGGTAAGTTGGAGCACATGCTAATACAACTGCAAAACCATAGTGTAATAAATATATAACCCAGCAACAGGGTCATTTGTCATCAAGTTCTATGGACTATGTGTAATCAAGTGTGCTTCCTGCTCATTCTACAGCAAGCATGGTGGAGTTTACACACTAACATTAGCACAAGGCTTAGAGTCACAGCAGCTACAGAAACACCGGGACTACTAGGGTTTCTCTGCTAAGACAAAGTTCTGCACAGTTCTGTGAGCTTGGGTAGTCTCAATACCGAGCCCTTCACACTGGTACCTGAGTACCTAGCTGCCAAAACGGAGCTCGGTTCCTTCACACTGCCCCTCTTCGCATCCCTTCAGCCTCACTCAATATCAAAAGGTGATTTCAGCTCCTTCTGGCCCAGGGCAGCCTCCACAGTCAGCAACACCCCAGGGGCCAGTGAGATAGCTCAGCAGGTAAAGGCACTAGCCATCAAGAGTGACGACCTACATTTGACCCCCAGTACCAAGAAGATGGAAGGAGAGAGCCGATTCTATCAAGTTATCTCTGAGCTTCACATGCACACCGTGACACACACACTTACACACACACACACCGTGACACACACACTTACACACAGACAGACGCATAAAATGTAATCGACTTTTTAAAAAAGGATGCTCCAGGACAGAGCCTTTGCTCCCTGCCTGGCTATGAGTCTGCGTATACTGCTGTCATAGAAATATCATTTGCGTCACTTTTATCATTTATTATTTTTATATTTTATTTGTTATTTTTCTTATCAAATGGTATTTTCTGTACCAGGTTTTTCTCTTTTTGGCCATCAACCCCCTCCCAAATTATGACACGGAGATTTATTATTAGTTTTGAATGCTCCGCCTAGTTTAGGCTCACTTCTGGCTAGCTCTTTTAACTTAACCTGTATCCTTTGTCTGCCTTATGCCTGGAGCTTCTTACTTTTCTTTCCTTCTGTGTCTCTTATTTCACTGCTTTTCACTTCTGCTGGCTGGCAGCAGACTCCCTTCTTGTCTGGGGCATGTCCTTTATTCTCTCTTCTCTTGCTCCCTTTTCTCTAGTCAAGCCTAGAGTTCTCCTATTTATTCTCTCTGCCTGACAACCCCACCTGTCCCTCTCCTGCCTAGCTACTGCCCATGTGGCTTTTTATTAGACCACTCAAGTGCTGTAGGAAGTCTAGGTGAGCCATCTTTATATAATTAAACACACATCCTTACATGGTTAAGCAACTGCAGCATAAACAAAAGTAACACACCTTTACACAGTTAAAGTAATATCCTGACCCGTAAATAAATATGCCACAGCCATTTTCTTTTTTAATAGTTAATTTTTTTTTAAAAAAAAACACCTTATTATAAAGAACTTGCAAATAAAAAACACCTAGTAAAATTTGTTTTGTTTTATTTTGTTTTTTGAGACAGGGGTTCTCTGTGTAGTTTTTGGTGTCTGTCCTGGAACTAGTTCTTAAAGACCAGGTTAACCTCAAACTCTCAGAGATCCACCTGCCTCTGCCTCCCGACTGCTGGGATTAAAGGCGTGCGCCGCCACCACCCAGCTTCACAAAGTGAAATTAACCAGACCCAATTCTATACATCCCAGTGAACTTCCACAGTCAGAGCAACCTTTCTGAAGCGGTGGGGATTTATAATGGATTCTGACCTTTCACTTGTAAATATAATGTTATGCTCTTGCATGCCACAGAAAAGAAAAATCCATGTTAGAGTTACAACTAGAAAAGTGACGAGCCTTTTATCCTTTCACGACTAATGCCCATGATCTGCATTTATTCCTTTCTCATCACCTGATATTTACCCTTTACTTTTCTCCTTTCTATATGTTATATTATGCCCACATGTACATTTGTTTGCATGTGTACATATACACATAGACTATATGTTATGCGCCATATGAAGGAGAACATGACCATTTTTTCTTCTGAGATTGTGTGACCTTGCTTAATATCATACATTCTAAATCCATCCATTTCCTTGCAAGCTTTTTATTTCATCTTTTTTTATATATAGTTGACTAGTATTCCATGCTATATCTGTACCAGATTTTCATTATCCACTCCTCTGCTGATGGACGGCTAGGCTGGCTCCATTTCCTTGCTCTCGTGAATAGGGCAATGACAAACATGCAGATAAAAACATCTCTATGATGGAGTATAGAGTTCGCTGAGGCTAAACGATGTTTTCATTTTATTTTGCCGCTAATTCTAGGTCAGGTTCTGAACAAACCCACCACAGGTGAAAATCCTCCTGGTAAGAATCCTTGCCCACCCAACACTGATTACTACAGCCCTGACAATGAAAAGTAGTGCTCACTCACGCCCGTCTCCTGCGGTTCATGGACCAAAACGGTAGTCCTCGAGTTAAATCGTTTAACCAAGAAGCCATTGAGGATTGATGGAACTATCATTTTCCCTCTCTAATCAAGCCTCTAACCTACACTTTTACATAAAAGATGGAGCTCGAAGATCCGAATTTCATGCCAAATCTTGCTCCCCCATATGGCAGAAGGGCTGTTGCCATACAGGACAGCTGCTAAACTCTGCTTCAATCTGACATGGAGCACTTGCTGCCCAGAGGGTGTCAGCTCCGAGGTGTTCAGGCCTCCATCTCTCCCTTGCTGCCTGCCTATTAGGCTTGGGAGCAGGCGGGCAGCATAATGCCCGGCATCTCCAGGCTCCCCGAGGGCAGCCCCTCCTCAGGGTGGAGCGTCTGTCATATGGCTACCAGGCATCTGCTTTTAAGCAGGTTTTTGTTAAGGGGTGAGACGGTGCCAGTATTGTAGTGTCCCCCCCCCCCGGGGGGACTTTTATAGTAAATGATGAGGGCAAATGAAGCCAGCGAAGACCTGAATCATTCTTGGCTAAAATGGGTTGTTTGGAGCCAGAATCTCAAACCTCAGACACTAGAGCTCCCCCTCAGTGTTAAAGTACCCGAGGGAAGGCTGAGCTGTCTTTTAGAGTTCATATCCTTGCCCCCTTACACACACACACACACACTCACATCCTCTCTCCATGCATACATTCACGTTCTGCAACCTCCAGTTGGCCTAATTTCTTTCCCATTTGCTCTGTCCCTGTCCTTGTAGTTATGTTGAAACATCCCATCCTTCTAACTCAGGGTGACGAAAGCCACTGTTTTCAACCATCTCAGAACAGGCTCACCAATAATACTACAGCCAAAAATGTTCTTTCTCCCCTCTGTCCCAGAAAGGATTGGAGCTAGAGACACCGGCAGCCTGGCAAACATAAGAGTAGAAATCTGGGTGAGAATGAGATTATTCAATAAATAAACCAAGAAAGAGAGGGAAAGGAGACAGAAGGAAGCCAGAGAAGAGGGCTACAAGGTGGGGGATATGCTCATTAATTAAGCATCTGCTGTGAACCAAACCTTACAAGATGACAGTAGGGTATGTATAATCCCCATAACAGCCCCGTAACAGAGGCATCCTCCATTCAAGGTAACCTGCCTGGTATTACATCATCACTACTAAGTATGACCCCAGACCGAGGTTCACAGTTATTGTTCAACATCTCTCTTTTAAATGCATTGCTCTGCCTCCCTAAAATATAAATGACTGTGCTCAAGCCCAGTCTCTAAGAAACGGATGTGATTAAGGATACGCTGCACTTTCACCTTAGAAGACGCTGGGCGACGGGTTTGGGGAACCTATACTGCCCTTGCAGCTCTCTGACGCCAAATCTGTTTCTGAATAAACAGACTTTAAAAAGGAATGTAACTGCGTTTCACATGGTGCATAACCTGGATTAGGGATGATTGAAGTGGACTGAGGGCCAAGGGACTCAAGGAGCAGTGAGCAGACTCAATAGGATTTACCCACTGCCCTTTGACCTCAGATGCTAATAAGCCCAGAAAGTCCTTCTCAGTAAAATGAAGTACTTTAAAAATTGCTCCCGTTTTAAGATATTTCCCAGAAAAAAAAATATCTGCTAATGGGACTACTTTAAGCATTGTATCAAAAATTGCTATTATTCTTAAGGTCACACATGTGTAGTCTTATCTCTGGGATTTATGCCCAGGGCTTCCATTCCTATTATGAGCCCTAAATAAAGTATTTTTAGTCTTTCAGACAATGCTATGGCTTGAATGTACATGTTATCCCAAGAGTCAGTGTGATAGCATTACTGATGGGTTGGGTTGCCAGAGGGGTAGATAAGAGTGAGTGGGGCCGAGCATTCTAACGGCTGCTATCACTTTCTATGACATTCTGCACGGACTCTTCCAGCTGGAATCCCTGACGCTCACGGCTTCTGTCCGTGTGGGATCCTATTTTCTGGTTCCATTCGTCAGCTTCTCCTAGAGATCGGAACGTTGGGTCTGCACGGCACCTTAGGAGCGATTTAATAAGAGCATACCCGACCCCCAACCATTGTGTTGAGACTGAAGAAAGTTGCTTTAATTTGCCTTTAGTCTTGCTAAGCGAAAAGTCGATGATGTTGTCCTTGAGATTAATAGCACACTAGCACGAACAGCCTCGGAGGGCTGCGCTATAAATATTTCACAGCGTGGCAACTCAGAGGGCGGGGGAACTTACCTGAAAGAGTTATGATGCCATGAACTAGTTTTCTCCCGGTGTGGAGACCTCACCACATGGAATATTACTATTTCCAGTATTTTCTGTTACTGAAATGAGCTAAAGAATACAGAAAGTACCTCTGAACTTTATCTTAAAGTGGATCATTTTAATACGGTATTAGAAGAAACTGTTTTAGGAATTCCCAAATCTCCATAGCTTAGCACATTAACGTATTTCTTACCCAAATCAAAGGTCAATGAACATTATCCAAAAGACTACCCGCGACTATTCAGTCCCCAGATCGCTCCATCTGTAACTGTGACCTGCTTTGGGTCTTTGGGTCTTCCGTTCAGAAATGGAGCAGAGTGGGGCTTCTCCGTAGTACGTTTCTACAGGTCCGGCCCACGGGGCTTCTCTGTGGGACGTTTCTACTGGTCGGGCCCGGGGCAAGGGGCATCTCCCTCTCACATTTAACTAGCACCAGGCAGCCTTAGGAAGAGGTGCACTATAATGACGACCAGGGCGGCGTGGACTGAGGTCCAACCGTGTGCCCGTGAAGGCCAGCACACAGACGCGAGTGTGTCAGTAGCTCCGCCATGCACACAAACTTCTTGACTTGAAAACACCAATTCCAGGGTATTTATCTAAGTTCAGGTTCTATGGCATAACTTATCACATTGAAATACAGAATCGCTCCTTCTTGAATAAGACACACGAGCGTGCGCGCGCGCACACACACACACACACACACAGACACGTTTTTTAAAAAAATGGCTTTATAATGATATAGAAAAATCACTGAAATTAAGCAATCAAGATGTGCAAAATGTGCTTATTAAATAATCAAAGTCAAAAAAAATGTACTACAAGGTAAAGAAAGTTGAATGCTTAGGCCTCATTCAGAGAAAAGTATCTTCAGATACCCACTTTGGCCTTTCCTGCCCCGCCCCCATCTCTTTTAATGTCAGTAGAATCACCCTGAGTAGAGTTCAGTGAATTGGGCCGTAGAACTACACAGCTCAACTCTGTTCCACCTCTGACAAGCTCTGGAGCTTGGAGGCATAAGGGACCTTTCCAGCAGAATTTCCTGTCTTCTGTGACTCTGCTGCCACAGTGCAGCCACCAAACAAGAACCCGATGCCCGCATTCCTGTGTGATTAGCTGCCCTGACTCGCTCTGCTATGCCACCTTCGCATTAATAAGGTCTTTGTTCTCTATCTTGTCTCCTTCTTTGGGAATCTCACGAGTCTTCCCTACTATGGGGGGCTTCAGGGTTACCAGAAGAGCAGCAAAAAGCAGTTCTTTTTCATAATCCAAACACCTAGGAGCAGAGAATGGTTGCCAGGAAGAAGGTGTTTCTCCCCCAAATAAAGTCATTGGCCCTGATGATCACTAAGATGGCAGGTCTGGGATTGTCCCTAATAAGGGCCCAGGGTAGGAGCGCCTCCCTCCCAGCACACCCCACCCTAAAGATTAAAGCCTCTCTGTTCCTTGTGTTTCCTAATGATTACCCAAAGCACAATGGCTAGGAAAGACAGGGAGGGGAGGTAAGGGAGAGGGGAGGCCAGCCAGCAGGTCAGCCTGGAAGCAGCCAGCAGAGAGGCTGGCAGGCCCTGAGCCTGCTGTCTTCCAACAAGGGTGTTTTACTGACCTGACCAGAATGACACACGAGAAGGCAGCAGCTGTGGCTGGAGCCAACCTTCCTAAAGCCTTCTTAGCTAATGAACTGGAAGGACCCAGAGGGAGTCGGGAAAGAATGAGTCCCTGGGGACATGCGGGAAGGGCTCACCATCCATGAATTTTCCATTTTTTAATTAGGCTTGATGGTTTGGTAAGGATAATACTCTTTGGGGAGAATATGGCCAATGTGTTTGGACTCAGTACTCCCCCTTGCTCATGCTGCCTGACATCTTTTGATAGAGCCAAAGAAAAAAATATTTTATGTTTTTTATTATAAAAGGAATATTCTATAATTATTAAAAAATCAAAACATTTAAGGTATAAAATATAAAGAAAATGTACCCTATATAACAATTGTTTTATTTGGCTCATTTTCGATACTCAAGACCACTCACATGAGCTATTTATACATATATGTAGATATTTAAGACAAAATGGCTGTATTATATACTTTCTTACAACTTGTGTTTTAATTATTATTGCTACTTGATAAATATACTTTATTTACTCAAATAGCTAAAAATAACATTTTGTCCTATGCATGTGTTTGTTTAGCATTATTACATACTACTCAAACTATGTTAGTAAAATAAAATTCTTGACAGAAGGATTACTAGATCAAGAGATTATATATTAGTATGTATTTATGTTCGAATTTAATGGGCATTTTTAAATTATGACTTTATATTTGTTAATTATAAGTATGCTTCCAAAACAAGTCTAGGGCAAGTTACTTGAATGATATGCCCATTAAATAAAATAAAGCCATCAGAAGAATTCTTCCCTGTATGAGTTTCACATTCGGACATGTGGCTAAGGAAACAGCTGGTTAACCAAGAGAATCCATCCAAAATAAACAAAGCATAAATGTCTATATGAGCAAATTTGTACACTGTTTTATATTTAATTTCATATTCAGAAAATTATTTTTAAATTGTACAATATCTAGTTCTTTGAAAGTAAAAAAAAAAACTTGTTTCTTATGTTTTTATTTTAAAAATAAGTACTAGGTAGCTTATAAACCAGAAATAGGAGCGAGAGAGATAGGGGGCTGGGGAAGTGACTCAGTTGGTAAAGTACCTGCTATGCATGTATGAGGGCCAGTACGCAAGACGCACATGTTAGCAGGGTGGAGCCAGGCGTGGCAGCACATGCCTGAGACCAGCACTTGGCTGATGGAACAGATGGCTATCTGAAGCTCTCTGGACAGCCAGCCAGGTCAATGACTTTCAGGTTCAGCGAGAGACCCTGTTTCAAAAGAAATAAAAGGTAGAGAGTGACAGAAGCCGACACTCTAGTCACACATGTGCACATGCTAGCTCATACATGCACTTGAGCACATGCCCACACAAGCTCATATATGCACCACACACACACACGTGTGTACATGCACACGCTAGTTTATACATGTGCCATACACATACATGCACATGAGCACATGCACGTGCTATCTCATATATACACCAAAGACACATGCATATGTGCATACACCACACACATGCCCACACAAGCTCATATATACACTACACACATACATTAACAAACAAAAAGGTAAAACTAAGAGATAGAACTAAATCTATAAGAAAAGAAGGCAACCTCCACCGTCACCATCTCATGGCATGATAAGGAACGAGGACAGTACACAGCCCGACACACTTCCTTTGTGTGGGGGTGGATAGATGTCCGTGGCCTGGCCACTGAAGAAGGATGTCAGGGATGGTTCTGTCTTCACATTATTACAGATGGAGAAAAGAAATGAGGAGAGCTGACCCAAGTTGCTGCTTCTTGAAACCACAATTCTGCAGCTCACAGAAAATCAGCTGTTTGCCTCCCTAACCTTCCTCAGCAATGGGGAACGCTGTAGGACTGTTAAACATTATGTATGTGGTTCCTGTCACTGAAGACAAAGAAACAAGTCTGGGAAGTTATGCAGATAAATCACCCACATCTCAGCAAAGCAAAGGAAAAGGAAGCAAAAGAAACCACCTGACAAAAACTGGAAATAATGATTGTCAACCAGCCCTTTCTTCTTCTCTATTCTGATGCCAGAAATGAAGTCTTGAAGTACTTAAAGCATGTTCATTACCTACTTTAATGTTAGATTTATAATCTTGTGTGCTGAAAAGTTCACATGGCTCAACAGAACCATGCCTGACAACCTGAGTTCAAACCCCGAAACCCATGTGGCTCCACGCACGAGCTATGGCAAACAAGCATGTGCACACACATAAACAAATAATTGAACTAATGTAATTAATTTTAGACTCAAATGTAAGGAGGAAATTTTAAAAGTAGCTTAGACTCCAAGTTCCAGTTACTGGAATCTAAGCAAGATTCAACTGACCATAAAGAAAGACCAGAGACAGCAAACTCTGAACAAGTTCAGCCTGTCCTTGGTGGATTCATGAGAGCCATGAATTTACAGAGTTTACAACACTGTAACAAAACACCTGAGGCAAATCAAGCTAAAAACAGAAAGGAAGGAAAGAAGGGAAGGAGGGAGGGAGGGTGGAAGGGAGGGAGGGAGGGAAGGAAGGAAGGAAGGAAGGAAGGAAGGAAGGAAGGAAGGAAGGAAGGAAGGAAGGATGGAAGAGTTCTTTTAGTTCAGAGTTTTGCAGTTTCCAGTCCCTGGTTACTTGGTCCAGTGGCTCTCAGGCCTGCACGGAGGCAGTAAACACATCATGGTGAAAACACACAGCAGGGAAAGGGTATTTAGATCACAGCAGCCAGGAAGCAAAGAGAAAAAGGAAGTGGCCAGGACCTAACATAATCTTTAAAGGTATGTCTTCCAGTGATCGGTTTTCTCCCATTAGACCCCACCTATACATATACAGGCATATGTGTGCATATGTATGCACATATGTATATGAAGGTATTTGTTACAAGGACTGGTCTTTAAGTTGCTGTGGTAGGAAGATATGTACATATTTTTCAGGTAAAGCCCTGACTGATATAACAAACATAGACTTAAAGTATACTGATTATTTTCTTCCCTTTATCATTTCAAATGCCACTGCCTTCATTAACATGGAGAAGCATAAGAGATAATGATGTGGGATTCCCCTCTGTATGCTGTGAATATGTTTTACTACCATTGGTTAATAAAGAAGCTGCTTTGAGCCTAGGACAGGGCAGAATATAGCCAGACTGGAAGAGACGGGGTGGGGGGGTAAGCAGAGTCGGAGAGATGCCATGTAGCCATAGAAGAAGACAGACACTCAGTAACCTTACCGGCAAACCACGAGCTTTGTGGTAAAATATAAAATAATAGGAGTGGGTTAATTTAAGATGTAAGAGCTAACTAGGAATACGCATAAGCTAATAGGCCAAGCAGTATTTTAATTAGTACAGTTTCTATATGATTATTTCGGGTCTGGGGTCGGGAAACAAACAAGCAGCCTCAGCCTACAGGACAAAAGTTAAACAAGGGGCTATGGGGGTGGCTCAGTTGGTAAAGTGTCTACTGTAAAACATGAGAACCTGAGTTGAGATCTCCAGCACCCACAGAAAATTCAGGCATGGAGGGATACACACACAATCCTAGTGCCGGAAGACAGAAACGGGAGGCTGTCTGGAACCCTGGCCAGCCAGCCTGGTCAACTAGGGAACTTCCTGTTCAGTGAGAGACCCTGTCTCAAGTATAAGTCACAGATCACCAGAGAAGATTCACAAAATCAACCTCTGGCATCCACACACATGTGCACAAGCATGAACACACACCACATAAGCCAACACATAAAAAATAAACATCCCCCCTCCCTTAGTTAATTAGGTCATGACCAGTCCCCTACATTGGGGCAACAGCGGAAGATAAAATACATCCAAAAGATTTTTCCTACAATATGATGCAACTGTCAGAGGTCCACTGTCCCCGTGAGAGGTTGCACCTGCCCAGCCCTAGAAGAAAAATCTCCTTTCTTGATCTTATAATTGTAATTATACATATTTACAAGGTACCATGTGACATTTCAATACCTGGATACAATATATAAAGATGAGATCAGGGAAGTTGGCATATCGATGACCTCAAACATTTATTATTGCTGAGAACGCCCACAATTCTCTCTAGTAACTACTTTGAAATATTTTGTTCTTTTCAGTCATAGTTATCCTTCTGTGCAAAAGAATATTAGGAGTTATTCCATCCTGTCTCTATGTCCATCCCTCCCCACACCCTTCCCCTCAGTCTCTGATAACCAATATTCTAATCTCTGCTTCTTTGAGACCGATTTTTTAAAGATTTATTTATTTATTATGTATACCGTATTATGTCTGCCTAGAGGCCAGAAGAGGGCACCAAATCTCATTACAGATGGTTGTGAGCCACCATGTGGTTTCTGGGAACTGAACTCAGGGCCTTTGGAAGAGCAGGCAGTGCTCTTAACCACTGAGCCATCTCTCCAGCCCCTTGAGACCAGTTTTTAAATGAACACATGCAGTATTATTTTTCTGCACCTGGCCTGTTACATTCCAGTTCCATCCCTGTTCGAAAACTGACATAACTATTTTCTTTAAGGATTACCCATGTTTCACTGCATGCACATACATGATCACATAATGTGTGTCATATTTTTTTAGATATTCACATGTTAATCGACAACTAGGCTGACTGCACAGCTGAGCTGCTGCTTAGGTGCTGCAATAAACAGCAAGTGTCTCTTCCAATCATTTACTTTCATTCTTTCGACCAGACACCCAGTAGAGACACTGCTGGGAAGACTACATTGTCTTCCAGAGTGGATGATGGATTATCTTGTGTTCCCCTCAAGAAGCACATCATGATCTGCCCCAGGGCAATCACAGTTACTAATTCATTGACTGTCTGACAGTGACTTGTAGAGGAAGAGGCATGTGCTGTGATTCTGGAAAGAAAAACAGTACTAAAGAGGCATAAGGAAAAATTCCCCTCTTCTTTAACAAGTACCCAAAGAAAAACAGCCCCAATTGCTAGACTTTATATATTGTTGATGGAAGAGATGATACCTGGAGTTCTTATGTCAGGCAGTATAATTCCCCTAAAGACATCCTCATCCTAATCATCAGGATCTGCAACTATAATATATTAGGTAGGAGGATTAAGAGATGAGTCAGTGGGTAAGAGAGCTATCTGTGCAAGCATGGGGACCTGGGTTCAAATCTCTAGCACCCAAGTAAGAAGCCAGGCTTATAACTACCAGTATTGAGGGAGGTGGAGGCAAGAGAATCACTGAGACTTGGTGGTTGCCAACATAGCTCCAGAGTCAGTAAGAGATCCTGTCTCCAAGGAAAAAGGCAGAAAGTGACAGTGTAGGACTAATGTGGGATTCCCCTCTGTATGCTGTGATTGCCATTGGTTAACAGAGAAACTGCTTTGGGTCTATAGCAGGGCAGAATGGAGGGAGGCAGGGAAAACTAAACTGAATGCTGGGAGAAAGAAGGTGGAATCAGGAGAAGCCATGTATCCCCACCAGAAACAGACACAAGACAGAACCTTGCCGGTAAGACACAGCCACATGGCGATACACAGATTAATAGAAATGGGTTAAAGTAAGATGCAAGAGCTAGCCAATAAGAAGCTAAAGCTAATGGACTAAACAGTGGTTATTTCGGGGCTGAGCAGGTGGGAACAAACAAGCCGACTCATATGCACAGGACAGTCGGTACATATACACATCCCATATATCCATATCTAGCTATCCAAAGTATACGTTAGGTCACAAGGAAAATGGGAATCCAGGTTGGAAATAGAATGGCTGTCGTTAACTATGTGACACTCAAACAGAAAGATCGCCTTGGTTTATTCAGGAAAGCCCGATATAACCACAAGTTTCTTAAAGGGAGGACGTGGTGAGATGACTCAGAGGGTAAAGATGCTTGTCGTCAAGCCCGACAACCTGAGTTTAATCCCCAGAACCCACATGGTGGAAAAGGGAATCAACCCCAGTAAGCTGTCCTCTGATCTCCATATATATGCCACAGCAGAGAGAGAGAAAGAGAGAGACAGAGAGAGACAGAGAGAGAGAAGAGAGAGAGAGAGAGAGAGAGAGAGAGAGAGAGAGAGAAAGCATATTTTTAAAATTGGGCTTATTTTTATGTGTATGAGTCTTTGCATATATGTGCATGTACACGTGTGCATAGATATACATATACATATATGTATAGGTGCATATGCACATTGATGTATATGTGTGTATAATGCCTAAGGAATGACACCAAAAGCTGCCCTGTGACCTCCATGTTTACCTGCACACACCTGGGTACCCTTCCTC